CCACAAATGACCATATAAAGTGAGCTGCTACGGATCATGCACGTGAGTTAAGGGAAACATTTTAAATTTTGATGTCTATGTTTTTTATCTTTTGCTTCTCTTATTAACCTCATAAAAGGAAACATGATGTTTTGAAGCTTTCTTTGCTAGTCTCACTTGAAGCATCTATAACAGTATTTTGGGCTGTTGATTGGCTGTGAATAAGATAGAAGTGTGTTATGCCCTTTTTTTTTTTTTCCCTTGAGCGTCTTTGATTTCCATTAGAGTGTTGATGAAGGCTGACAATGCTAGTTTTGTATGGGACGATAGTTTTATATGATTTTATATGTTTTTCTATGTTTTTCTATGATTTTCTATGATTTTCTATGATTTTATATGATTCAGAGCAACCATAACTATCCTGTCTTTCAGAGGTGCAATGGTACCGTGCAAATGTTCTGAGGAGGCTATTCATTCATGATAGGGCTTTAATTATAGATCACATTGCTACTCTTAGGCTCTGAATTTCAGTGATATTAAAGATTTTAAAGATTTTTAAAGACCCCAGAATTTTAAAGGAAAACACAATGAGAGATGTATTCTTTGACTACAGAAATTATTTTCTACAGGATGAGTAAGAGACAAGGCTGGGGGAGGGGAAGGAGAAGGTGTTCCACCATTTGAATTTTGTCCTCTCTTCCAGATTTGAAATCATCATCAGAAACTCTCATATAATGATTTTCCCCACCACACCCCTTGGATGATACATTCTAACACTCCAAAATGGTGATGCAGATCCAAGATGATTTTCTGCTTCATGCACACACTATTGAAATTCTTGTCTTAATTGCTTCTTACACTCTGTAGTATCTTTTTGGAAGTTTTCACAATATCACAAGAATAGTTCTTTCTGCTCATTGCTCCCTGGTGACACTGCCACAGAAAGCAAGTTGTGGGACCATACACTATGTCCTAGCGAAAAGAACACCTTGAGACTTTAAAACAAGTTTCCCAACTCTTCTGGTCTGAAGTGTTGACCTGCAAGCCTATTGTGAAACTATTGCATTAAGAAAAAACAGGAAGGGAATACCATTTCCAGAAACTGAGAAAAGAGTTTAGATTCTTGAAAAGAGATATGATATCTCTTTTCAAATAGAATGATATGAATCTAAAGATCCTGTTTAAAGTCAGGCAGATAATCAGGATATTTTCCAAAAGCAAGAGTCAATGTGAACTTGGATCATTCTGTGATGCTAATGTGTCCTTTCCTTAAAGCAGCGTTGAACAGCTAAGAAGTATTCACCTTACTTTAGCAGATTTTTTTAGAGAACAGGAGCAAAGACAATATTAATTTTTAAGTAGTGTGAGCACAAGAAACCTGATGCCAAACTGCCCTTTTTGCTCCTGGGATTATGTAGAGCTAATTCTCAAGGCATCTTTCTGAAAATGTATCCTTTGGACTAAAAAAACAAAAAGGGAAAACCCACCTTCTTGGACCCTACTGTTTTAGTTCTCTGGATGAGTCTTCTGGTTTGATTTAGGAATATGCTGCCTGGTTCCCATGTGCGTTGTTGTTGTAGTATTTACTTTGGAAGGAGAAGTGAGTATACAGTTCACGCCTTAACCTTGTCAAGCTTTCCCCTTAACAGCTTGAACTGACACCATACAAATTCTGAAAGGAAAGGCCACAGCCAAAATTAATCATAAACATTATCCATAAAGTATTACTCTTGACCCTACCAAGGGGCAGACCTCTAGAAATAACATCCTGCTCCTTAAGAAAATAACATCCCTCTCCAACCGAGAGGTGCAGACGGTCTCATCTATGCATGACGGACATGCTGAGCTGTGCCTCAGGGTGTAACATCCGATTCCAACTCAGAGGGTAATGTGCACTCCAGGTCTTACATTGTGAAAGTCAAACATAGCCCTGTATATAAGCTTTGGCAACTTGCATCCTCTGCATAAAACTAGTCCTGTCTAAGGTTGTGCTGTAAGGTTAGGGTTTTATGCAAAGCCAAACAGACTAAGGCTGAAGCTGGAAGATTTTAGAACTGCCACCCCAGCTTCCAGACTATTTTGACCTGAAAGAATACTGTATGTATAGTTCACATCATCGTACCAACAATGAGCCCTGAGGAAAGGCTACAGTCCTTAGCTTCTATGTAGCATTTCACTTGAATGGACTCTATTATTAAGAGGCACAATCCACAGACTGGAGATCCTATTTCCATAGGTATCAGGCAGTATTCTGTTCAGCAGAAAATTGAATTTATTTGAAAATTGAAAAATCCAGAACTGAAACTAGTCAGTATTGCTCAATACTAGTTTTATTTGGAAAACAAATAATAAATCAAAGAAAAACTTAACTTACTGCAAATCACTGGAGATGAAACATAGAAGCTTAAATCAGGCAAGACCTGCAACATCAAATGAAGCATTCCTTAAGTATAACAAAAAAATCTTGCATGTAGCAGTAAACTAGATTGCTTCCCAGGAGACATTGGTTGTACTGGCGTTGATAGTGAGATATTTCGTCAGCAAGCTGTTGGTGTGTACAGACATATCTCTGATATTGCATGCCTTTATGAATTCATTCCCTTGCGAGCAAGGATGAGATGCAAGTAGCACTAAACCCCACTTTGCAGGGGTTTCCCTCAGCATAAACTCTTCCCTCAGTGTCATCTCCAAGTAGTTTTGATCTTCCTTTCCTCAGCGTACCAGCCCCAGATGGAAGCTAAGGTGCTGTTGGGACTGACAGGTTAAGTGGGAAGAGAACTGGGGAGAGAATAGGACGTCATCCTCAATGTTGGTTTGCTTAGCAATGACGTGGTATAATTGTTACAGAAGATTAAAAGATTTTTCCCTGGTAACTGTTGTTTTTCTTTGTAGGAGAAAATAGAGTTTGTTTCACCCATCAACTGGTGGTAATTAAAGGATAAACTTCCAGGTTTTGAAATTAAATTATTACTTGTAAAAAAGTTCATGAGGTTAAAACTTCTCTGGGATTTCTATGTCATACTGAAGTACAGCCCCCCTGTAAGTTAATGTGACAGATTTAATAAAGGTAGTAGAGATTACTGCAGTGTCATCTGCTGGATAAATGCCTTGAAGTAAATGAATATTTTTACAAGAATTGATCTGTGCTGGATTTCTAGTGGTGTAGTCTATTTATATCTAACAAATATAAACTATACCCAGATGGCTTACTCCTGATAATGCAATACAAACTCTTTTCACACTAATGCCAATACATCTCTCCTGTTATTAATAAGCTATTTATATACATTCTGACAGCAGACTAGACCTCATCTTTGAGATCAGTACCTGATGCTCATATTTCTTTCCCCTTGCCCTCTGTTTCTTTCCACCATCCATCACACTGACTCTTACTTCCTATCCTCTCCTGTGAAATAGACACTACCTTCTTTTTTCACTAACAGTAAAACAGATCAAGGGGGTTCCATGTGTTGGTAAAGATAAATGTCGAGGCTAAAATCTTTCCTTGTGTGGCTTCCATTAAGTTCCATTGGGTAGCGTTTGTACACTTTTCAACTATGATGCACAAAAGCTAGTGTTGCGAAAGATTTTCAGTCTCAAAGCATCATGCCTTTTTAGGAAACCAGTGCCTTTTTAGGAAATCAGTGCTTCTGCATTGAAATCAGATACCATTTTGTGACTTAGTTGTCAGTCTTCTCAAATGGCACAGGTGGTATATCACATCAAGGAGACGATTGACAAAATGTTCCTTGGAATTATGCAAACAGTATTTCTATGTCATAGTGATAAATAAAGATGTTTTCACTCTGGAGATATAGCAAAGATAAGGAAGAAAAGATGTGAAGATGCATTTGAACGATTTTCATGGGAAGAGTCTTTTGCTTTACCCAGCTTCTCTCTTAAGGTGAAGCAATTGCAAGTCTTCTCACTTATCATGCTTATGTGATAGAAAGAGAATATTTATTTCTATACATCTGTGCATAATATTTTGTCCCTGGTAATGATCTAAAATATTTGGCTCTGAAGGAAGGAATTTTAATTTTGGTTTACAAAGGAGTTTGTTGAAAGAACTAAACTTGGTGGTACAGGAGTAGGGAGGCTGCCAACTTCTGATAGTCCATCAAGGCTGACAGTTTAAGAAGACCTGCCAGGGTAGCTGTTCTCTCAGTTGGCTGAGTGATGGGAGTTTCATCACCAGACAAAGTTCAGAATTTCCTTCACAGGAAAACTGGCTCTGACTTTTTGAACTTTCAGACTACCGGGCTGAGCAGAATAAAAACAATTGTTGAGACATCGTGCATGGATCTAAGGGATAGATGGCTCCGAACTATGCCAGAGAATCATGATAAGACATTCAGGCTGTATACCAGGATTTTTTTTTTTTGTTTCTTTTTAATCATTGGTCTTGCTCTACTGTTTGTTCTCAGTCTCGCTTCTCACCATTTCTCAGTAATAGTGAATATACAAGATACTCTGCTAGAAACCTGAGACCACTTAAAAAACAGCTGTAACGTGAGTTCAATGCACATTCACAGAGCAATGGCCTTCTTGAATGTGAAGATGCAAACTGAGAGCAAGCTGAACACCTCTTGGATGTTGTGATTTTTCAGAGGCTTTTACTAGTGTCTTCAGCAGCAGCTCTCCTTTTAAAAAGCATATTCTGTACAAAAAGAATCCTAAAAGCAACTCAGTGGTGGAATTAGAGATCCACACAGATTATACTCCCAGCACAGAGGAATGGATTAGCTTAACTTTCAACTCCTGCTGCTTAATGTTGATTTAATATATTGTCTTGACTTTTAATAAGGTTATTGAAAGATAAAAGCATAAGGAGCTGTGGCACAGATGCGACAGAACATCATATGCAAAATAAAAAGAGACATTATAATAAAATGAAAATTGAATGTTGCTTGTGCAAAATCTGGCTTTGTTTTGATGCATAAAACAGCAAACACTGTTCCATACTGAGGTTTTCAAGAATGTCTTAAGTACACAGTGCTTCTGATGCCACCCCAGTTGCCTATATATAGATCTGTCTTGTGTAAAGAATTTAAAAAGCATTAGAATGGAGAAATCAAAGAGACAATAAATTTTAAACCAATCTTATTGTCTGCAGCCTAAAGTGTTATTAAGATCAAAGTGGAGCAAACATCTGGCATTTGCCTTTCTGCAAAAATTAGATCAAATTACCTACCATAGGATTTAGATACATTCAATAAGTTCATTCCATTGTACACATAGTTTTCTTTCTCCTTTTTATTTGCTAAATATAATTTAACACCCAAATTCTAACCTCTCCATTCATTTGAAGTTGAAACAAATTAACAACAAAAATTGAAATCATGTTTCTCTTGAACATCTGTTTTCGAAGGAACATTCAAGGTCCTTCAGGTCTTAAAGAGAGAAGTTCAGCAAGACTTCATCTTTGCCATTAAGTGTAATTTTCTAGAAATAAACTTTACCAAATACACACAACCCTGTCCTCATCCTTGAAAAATAAATTCTTCTTGACTACTATTATAACTAGTGTCATTACTGACTTTATTCCATATTGTTCACTCTAAAATTGTGTAGTTAAAAAGCTTGGATCAGTGGCCAATACTTCTGTGTATAATTCAATATACATTTTTCAGATTTTTAAATATATCTAATGTGAACCTAGGCTTTTGATACCTTTGCTTAAAGAGATAAATACATTTATGTTACATCTATTTAGCATAATTTTTCAATTCTCTCTATATAAGTATGCATTAATACAGGGCTAAGTTTGAGAATATATCTCTTAATAAAGAAATATAAATATAGAATGTTATAGAAATATAGATATATTCTTAAACATAGAAAATACTGTGTCTTTACACCTCAACAAAGTAATTACAAAAGTGTAATTTAAAGGCAAACAATATTAAAGTCTGCAAATTTGTCATTATATGAATCAAACAGTATCAACTGTACAGTTCAGTAGTGATGCCATGCAATAACTATAAAATTATGATTAATGAATTGGAGTATTCTGTCCCAGATGAGCTGTAAATGACACATTAATTTTTTCCACTTGCGTTATTGCTGAAAACCTTGTTGATATTACTAGGCAGAAGGATAAGATATAGCTCTCAAATATTCTAGAGAGAGATTTTCTTTTTTTAATTCTACTCTCTTGTAATATGAATTGGAATATGGCGTTTTTCACAAGGCATTTTTAAAAAAGAAACACAAACATAAGGATTCAAATTTTCTTTGCAGAACGTTTATTGTGAGCCAGTAATTTCTCCATTTGATCCATCCCCAAGCTATGTGATTTACGTTTGTGTCACAGCAAGGAGGAGTTATTACTTATCACAATGTAGAAGTTTGAGGGGTTTTAGTGTGAGCTCAAACAAGCTTCTTTTATGTCAGTATAGAATTTGATCCTTGTATCTTGTTCCTTGATCGTTCAGAAAAAACCCAAATATTAAAATTTCTGTACTCCTCCATCCAGACCCAGCCAGAGGAGGAATTCAGGCAGCCAGAAGTCACACATTGTCAAAGGGCACCTTAAAGTCGTCAGCTACATTCTCAGGCAGGCAGTGAAGACAGGCTTCAGATGTTTTTATGAAGCTACATTACAAGGTAGCATCAAAAATCTTCTCTGAGATTCCTTATGATATCTGTGCATTGCTGTGAATTTCTGTTTTCAGTCTCAGCTGATTAAAAAAAATTAAACAAGGTATCTGAATCTTATTATGATTAATATTCTTGATACCAGTAGGCCGGATTTGATATTTGATATTTTTGATACCAGGAGGCCAGGAGCTGATGGGTATTAAAAATATCTTCATTGTTTTGTCTAAATCCAAATGCACATCAGTTTTTCACTCCATGAAATTTTAAATGATGCCCTGTCCCCTTCAGAAACCTTTTGTTAGTGCAACCATCCAAGTAAGCAGCGTGACTCAGAAAAAATGTTGGACCTCTTCTGCCAATATTGATGGTTGTATCTCAGTAATTAATGAAGTGGTTTCTAAGGCAGATTTGAGTTATTTGGAGTGACTAGGATCTAAGTTTTTTAAAATGCAAAGGAAGAGTGTGCAAGGGCATAATTTGGTTAAGCAAACAGAACTTCTCCGTCTTCTGCCCCTGACTTGGTTGTTGTCCTTCAGGAAATCTTTTGGAACTAAAAACTCTGTTTACTCCTGTACACTGGAAAAAGAACATCAGTCCCCAAGGGTGCACTTCTAATTGCTCTTATTTTTTAATTTTTTTTCCTCCCCATTCAGAAGAAGGTAAATGACAAGGTGAAGTTACCACATTATTTTTGCAAATACAGTGTCCCTCTTCCCAGCCAGGCACTACTGCTGACAGGCAGCTGGAGCAAAGCCACGATGCTGTCTGTCCCACTGACCCATCCAGGCCACGCTATACCTACTGTGTGCATCTGCTGCTCAGATGTGCACACGTGCTTAGCAAATCTAACATTCTCCTGATGCCTCAGTCGCATAACGCGTGTGCGAATCAACTGCGTGGCACATGGGTGACAGCACACGCAGAAATCTAGCCTATCTCACAGCAGAGAGAGAGAAGAATAGTCTTATTTCTATCTGCATCCCTGGAAGCAGGTTAAGGTGTGTGAATTCTCTCTCGATTATCTTCTTTGGATCAGTGTAACTATCTATAAAGCCCATGGGACTTCACAGTGGAGGTATCGTTAATTCAAAGCTGGTATGTAGGACAAATATAAATTATAGTGAATGTTTGAACTTGTTAGCTTATAAGTAAGACCATGGTACTACGGAGTACTACAAAGGTAACTCCACAAGGTTTTTCTCTGTTTAAAATATTCAAATAAAGATATGTATGCACACCTTTTCATGGAAACATTCTACTCGGCTGTGCCTATATCTCAGACCAGAAAAAGCCTATCATCTAAAAATAATTATTATTAGCTAATGTTATTATCTTTTCAGTAAGCTTTTGAAGCACAAAATACTAGAAGAGAAGGAAGACTAAACTAAAAAACCTTTAGAAGTCCCCAAGCAACTAGTACTACTGAACTGTTCAGCTTCGTTGTTTTGTCAGGGAAGAAAACACTGGATCTTACCAGTGCCCAGTTTTTCAGATCTAGAAATGGGGTATCTGACCTTTTTTCTCTGGTTGTCTCTGTGTGTGTCACAGGAAAACACTGCATGTTGTTTGCCTATATCTGACTATGTCACTTATTTCTTTGAACTAAAAGGCATCAGTCTGAAAATTACCAGACCTGTATCACTGCTCAGAGGTTCACATGAAATCGGAGAAGGTTCTCAGCCTGGTTCAGCAGGATGGCAGTCCCTGGCAAAGCAGCTGACTTCACAAGGGCAGACAATGCCACCGCTGCTGCAGATGGCAGCGTTGCGTGGAATTCTGCCCTCTCTGAACCCAGTCCATCACAGGTCTGACAAGGTGGCAGGTTGGAGAGGTAAAATTTATATCACTACTGCCTATCTCCCACTGGTGGTATAGAGAGTTTGAAGAAACTTGTTCTCTCTAGTTGCAATCCTTCCTCAACCCTGGGCTTGTGCAAATGCTGCCAGCAGGGACAAATCTTCCTGTTCTCATTTATAACTGTTTTTCATCTCCTCTGCTCCTATTTGCAGCTTGTAATGTGCTGTATTTAAAAGTGTTCCTTACTCTTTTTTTCTAAAAGTGGGACTAAACTGCTACCTAGACATAAAACTGAGAAACGGTGTGAGGCAGGCATGCTGACTCCAACTTTTAACTCTCTAACAATCTGAGATTGATTTATATTTTGAAGTGTCACTATATGGTTTACAAGGGAAAAAGTGTGAGTAAAGATTGAAATTTTCCTTCTATAAATTGTGGAAGGGTGAGGGGGAAGTGACAGATCTCATTTAAAAACCTTATTGAAGTAGCCGTGTTGAATGATGGTGCCATTGCTTGTCTCTGTGTCTTACTGTCATAATGTAAACCCCTTTATAATTAGAAGAAACCACAGAAGCCAGAGTAAAGTACAACAGATCCAGAAAGAGCTGGAAACTTAAGGAAGAAAGAAAAAAAAACTCCAAACAACAATAGACACAGGCTGGAGAAGATATTTTATTTATTTGTTACTAGTAGTTAAAATGACGTACAAAATGCTGGGAAAAAAACCCTCCAATTCTATTCAGTTACAAAATAATTAAAACTTCATTTTAAACCAAGTTTTGCTTTGTGAGACTGAGCATGAAAATACTCCAGCCTTAGGTTATATAGTCCATTGTTTTTAGAATAAAGCAGACATTTAAATACATATTGTGGCTGATATTAAATATCTCGTATAATTGTAAGTTAGCAGAACTTTCTTACTCTCAGGCAATAACTAGCAATTCACAAAAGTTCTTTGTATAAAATTTACATGGGGGAGGGAAGGATCTGCCTCAAGGCACAATCTATGCACAGGCGGTTTTGGAACATAAGGATTTTGAATACTTTTATCAATTTTCCTTCAGAATGCTAGCCTAATCTTAAGTAAAGGAGACAATAACGTTTGAAGCTTTGCTTAACAGCTCAGAGTATAGGGACATAGCCATCCCTGTCAAAGACAATGGGAATTCTGCTGTCAAATTTACATGAAGAAAAAAATCATTCTTAAGGTGTTCCCATTTCTTGGACAGAAATCTAAGCTAGTCCAAAACTCAAAACTTCCAGCCATGACTGAGGTTGGTCCTTTCCCCTGGGGGAAAAAAAAAATCAAACAAGAACTTTAAAGGAAAACAATCCCTGTCTATTATCAGTGAAAGAGAATTTGTATTAATAATAACATTAAATATCCGTATCTTTCTGTTTAACTATTCACATTCCACACAGTGGAAATCTACCTCCTGTAATTCCAGATTTTAAAGTTGGATTCTAAAATCCACGTAGAAATGTGTCAAACCTGCTGAGTGAAATTCATTTTAATAATATCAATCAGTGAGTTGCAATCTCTTCATGTTACAAATGCAGACCACACAGCAGTGGATTTTAAAGTAAAAATAGATTAGTTGTAGAGATGTAGGATATCACCAATAAATGACTGATGCACTGTATAACAGGTAGGACAACTAATATAATGAGGCCACAAAGGATGAATTTGTGACTTGCTACTCATCATGTATTTTCCCTTTGGACATGTTACTGAGGGTGGAATTGTCTTACTCAGCATTCAATGGCAAGAAATGGTGTCAAAATTGTCACCTTGTGGCTGAGAGAGATATCTGGTGTGAGAGAGAACAGTTATGCTGCTAGTGG